TTCAGCAGACACCCAGCGCACCTCCTCTCCGGCAATCCTCGCCTTAGGTGGGCGCGCAGCACCCCGTATTGCCAGTGGCCAAATCCCCGTGTTGGCGACGTCTCCGGGGCAGGCAGGGTGCCGGCAGCAGCACTCGGGGTTTGGTTGGAAGAGGAGAAGCGGCTCCCCCTGGTTTGGGTTGAAGTTGTGAACCTCCCATTTTTATGCTCCCCAAGCTTTTCGGAGTTGGCCAGCCCCACACTTTCCGCCTCGTCGCAGAAGGGAGCCTTGGATCAGATTGATCCTCACTGATCAGTCCAGCACTTGATGGTCTCCTTGCCACCAGGCATAATACTAGCAAACCTCTCTCCTTTGGGGCTTTGGGAAGCGTATGTTCCCGTCAGAGGAGTTGATCACACGCATCCCATCTCGTACCTAAGAAACGCTCACAGGTTTTGATACCCAGACTCCACTTGGTTGTGTCACGATGCTGTCTTTGAGCTACCTTTCGGTGGTAGAAATAACATAATGAAAAAAATAATAAAATAAAAAGGCAAAACATGCAAAAAATATGTTTGTATATGATTTTGATAATACAGAGTGGGGGAAGTGGGAATTTCCTCAATTCATTCACTTGAGGAAATAAATAGGCATCCCACGCCTATTCTCCCAGACTTGAGTTACTCTGGATGCACTCCTACATACGTGAATCAGTGTGTGCCTTGCTGTACTGAAGTCTCCTCTGAAGACTACACGATCCACAAAGCACAGCAGCCACCAGTGACAAGAAGATTCCTATTTAATTCAGTTAAGCAAGAGGGAGGATAGCTTGCTCCCTGTCGCTTACGCTGGAGTTGGTTGCACATGAGGAGACTCGGTTGGGTTTTAAGCCTGGCTGTGAGCCAGAAGGATGGGGCTTGTGGATGGTCTTATTAAGTACTTAAACGAACTAGAATGTCAAAAAAGGCACGCGAGCGAGGCAGAGGAGCAGTTGCGTGCTGCCTCGTCCCTTCAATGCGCTGGAAGGAGCAGGGAAGGCAAAACCACGTACGTGTGCCCCGACTCGCCTTCGCCAGGCTAGGGCTGTGACAGGCAAATCCAAACCCTGGTCCTACAGATAACACCTTGTGGGCTGTCCATCACCTCTCAAAAGCTTCGTGCCGATCGGCACTAGCGGGTTGGCACAACATATGTGAACAGCTGCTACCGTGAGTACTGCAGCTCTTAAAGGCAACGTATAAAGCCTGCTGGCCGGCTTCACTGATTTCCCCACTCCCACAACCTGGTTGTTTACAACTCCTAACATCCCATCAATAAAATCTGGTATTTCTGACTGGCTCTTGAGAACATTTTCCTTATGAGAGTTTACGCTAAATATCCTCCTTACGTAAAGAACAAGGCTATTAACTGTTCAGTGTTTCCTCAGCTCTCCGGGCAGAGAGGAAGATTAGTCCTCTTCAATGTTGGCTGCTATGGTTAATATGCTGCCGTTTACCAATAAACTTTATAGGCTTTTCTCTGCCTTCTCGACAGATGGACAGATGGAAAAACTGAGGCCCTAGTAGCCAGTTCAGCATTTTGGGGAGGGGGCAGAGGGTCCCTCAAACTTCCCCGCCGAGGCCACACGTCTCCCACGCTCCCCGCTGCCCGTCGCAGTGGCAAACCTTCACGCCTGAGGGTGGCACGTGCCGCTCTGCTGACACAGGGCCCTGCCCGCCACCTCTCAGCCCAGCCAGTGCCACCCAGCCCAGCCCAGGGCTCGCCAGTACAATTTAGGAGCCCAGCAACCCCCTGCCTGCCCCACGGGGCTGCGTGAGCCCCAGGGCTAGGTGGGCAGCCATGCCTGCTCTGCTGCAGTGGTGGGGCTGGAGAAATGGGGGAGAGGGCCAGCTAAGATGGAAGGAAAAAAAACCATCGTGTTTCAGCTAACATTGGGAAAAAAGAGGAAAAGCAATGACATGCGAGATGCAGAAAAGGTCTGCAGCTGCCAAGACGTGTAATTCACTTCACGGCTGTGCCTGCTGCAGAGCATCCCCAGCCTCGTTCGGCTGGACACACGTAGCAGACGCAGCACTGCAGAGCGCTGTATGAAACACACGTGTTGCCAAGCCGACCTGCATCCAACCAGCAATAGTTGCTTGCACTTCTTTAGCTTTGAAGCTCACTGTGACGTCGCATACAGTGTCACTTTTACATCAGAGTGCCCTGCAATTACAAACAACTACCAGCTTTGCGTGAGGGGGGACTGCAGTATTGACACCACTGCGTGGAAGTGATTTACCCCTCCTCACAGCAGTAGCCTGGTGCCCAGTCCCGCGCCGGTGGGTCAGCAGCATGTCCAGGCCCCGGGGGCATTTCACTGGCTACCACCCATTTCTGCTGCCCGTGTGCACATGTGTGCTGTCAGGCTGAAACCCAGTAAATCTTCCCCTTCTTGACTCAGGCTCCACTCAAAGCTTTCACTGGGAATTTGTTTCAGCTCAGAGCAAGCATATCAACTCATTAGAAGTGCCACAAATCTGTGCAAGAGAATTGGGGCTGCTGAGACCAACTAAGACATAACACTTCCATACAGGAATTCCTGTAAGCTGATAATACTGCTTACCAGCTAAGGAAGAAGATTACAGCACATATTTAGTAGCTCATGGTGCTGAAAACTTGGTTAAAAAGCACTTGTGGTTAAGGGAGGGATAAGAGTTAAGTAAATCTTGCAGCTATAGAAGTGAACCATGGGACTTCACAAATACACCGAGCTGCTGTTTCAGCCTATTGCCTAAACCCTTACTGCTTGCCAACCCAAGGCTCATATAGAACCATAGAATCATTAAGGTTGG